GAATACAAGAGTTTTTTCTTTTCGAAATCCGAATAGAAAGGGTACAGGTTGTATTCGAATACAACGTGTAGGACCCGCACCGTTTCAATTTCGAAAAAGGACTACCCGCACYGTTTCAATTTCGRAAAAGGACTGYGGCCTCCTYGGCCTCCTACTCGCAGCTACCGGTCCTACGCGGTCCTGGACCAAAACCCGTGCGGTACTACCGGTCCTGCAGTTTCAAATAAGATGCCACCACCCCCTAAACTGCCATGCCTTGCTTTTCCAGCCTTCCAACGACCGTATAATGAACGGCGATGAAAAATGTTCTCAGGGGGGGTAAACGCAACCCTGACGGCTGCCAACCTTCCCCTCTCAAACCCTTTTCCCTTCCCCCCCCTCCTCTCTTTCCCCTTGTCTTCATCCCCGAAAATCCAGGAACACCTACCTGCCTGGCTCAACCAACCAGCCTGCTGTTGCTGCCGCAGGGACCGATCCTCTGCGTCCGGGGTTCTCGCCGCACCACTCACCAAATTTGGAAAATGACAAAACTCTGGTGAGTGTATCTTTCCGCATTTTGATCCATTGTGATTTTGCAACCTTTGGTGAGTAGCACGGCGAGGGCCCCGAGCTGCGGTAGCGAGACGTAGCCTGGGGCAAGGTCCCACTTGCGTAAATCAGGAGATTTCGGCCGTTGATCTTTACTATCTACGGTCAGTATTTTATCTCTTAATTTGTGCAAGTGGGACCTAGCCCCTGGTGGCGGGAAACGACGTCTGAGGAGTGTCCTGCTGGTTTAGCTTCTTCCTGCGAAGTTACTGCGCGCCAAGTTTTTACTGTGAAGTCGCTACTGCTGTTGCTGCTGCTGCTGCTGCTGCTGCTGAGATCCCGAGCCGCATCTGGTGTTTAGCCTCTTCCTGCAACGTACTGCGCACCAAGTTCAGAGCCGCATCTGGTTTTTAGCTTCTTCCTGCAACGTACTGCGCGCCAAGTTCAGAGCCGCATCTGGTTTAGCTTCTTCGTGAAACGTACTGCGCGCCAAGTTCAGAGCCGCATCTGGTTTAGCTTCTCCGTGCAACGCACTGCGCGCCAAGTTTTCACTGCGAAGTTGCTGCTGCGGCTGCTGACATCCAGAACTGCGTCATGCTCGCTTCGCTTCTTCCACGTGGCACCCCCATGAAAGGGGGGTACGTTGAGAACTAGCAGTGACGTGGCGAAACCTCCGACCACAGAACAGGGATCGGGCCGCTTGAAGGTCATACCTCAACGCTTCTGAAGGAGGCAGGTTCCTTTTTTTGTTTTTTTTTCTTCCACTTCTCTTTTTAGGAAGCTGCCTTTCTGCTTCCGTTCTGCGCTTTTCTGCACAGACACTAATAGACAGAACGAGAGCATCTGTGTGTGTGTGTGTGTGTGTGTGTGTGTGTGTGTGTGTGTGTGAGAGAGAGAGAGAGAGAGAGAGAGAGAGAGAGAGAGAGAGAGAGAGA